CCAAAGGATCTACAACGCGAAAGCATGTTTCGATGTCCATCAAATGAAAAGTGGAATTGCTGCAAAAAATGGATAAAGTCTCAAAATTATATGCATATCCGTCTCAAAATTATGCGAGGAGTATGACATTGGAAAGTCAACTGTATATGACATAAGCAAAAAGAAAAAGGAACTTTTTGAATATTTTGTGGATTCCAACACCCCACTTGCAATGACTAACAGATGAATGCTTAATACAGTAAACAATGATGAATGCTTAATACAGTAAACAAATACATATTAAGCTTTTTTTTTTTTTTTTTTGTAAATTTTGATACCCTTTAGATCATAATTGCTCTTTATTTCATAAATTACGGTTTCATATTTTTAATTGTATAATTTCTGCATGCCATCTTACCAGATTTCAGTTGATGATCTATAATGCGGAATCACCGAAGTCCCCGCGAGTCCGGATTACGGACTTTGTACTGTATAAGAGAAGTATGACAAATTAAATTATCTGTACATTCAGTCACTATTAAAAATTAATTCTGTCTAGACTATGGGTCCTCAATCATGAGGAATAGCCCTAAAGGGAATTTCAATGTTTCAGATAGTAATTTAATCAACCTTTTCTTTACATATTAAGTATTTAGATTTAGTTTATGAATATGAAAAAGCACTTTTATTCAAATTTTGGTATTTACCAACATGTTTTATACTTGTTTAATTTACATTAAAAATAATCCATATTTAAACAAATGCATATGCACTTTTCAAGTTTTGGGAAGGAGAGGTTGAATGATCGTTTAGCAATGGTAAGAGGCCACATGAAGGAAAAACTGTTGAGAATCACTGGTCGAGACTGAGCCAACTTGAATTAAATACAGAATTTTATACTTTACGGATCTTTAGTTCTTATTGTAGAGTCATTAGTTTTTTTTTTTTTTTTTTTTTTTTTTTTTTGTACGGGAGACGAAAAATAAGCAATACCCTCTTTGAGACTCGAGTCTGGATCTCTCGAATATGAGCCGCTTGTACTAACCTTTACTCAACGAAGGCATTCTGGAAGGAAGAGTAAATACCTTATATACTACCCCTTTTAAATATGACTGGGTATTAGGGGACCCAGTCGTCAAATCTTGGTGGAGAAGAATCATCATCCATCACCTTTTTTTTTAGTTCAGGCATCATGCTGGAGACATGAAAAATGAGCAATGTTCTCGCCACGATTCTAACTTGAACCTCTCGAATATGCACCGAGTACGCTAACTGTTACACCCTGAAGGCATGCTGGAAGGAGGGAGAAAATCCCACCCAGCTATGTATTATTTCAGCCTGTACTGTCAATTCTACTTTCCGCTTCCTCACCCAAATGTAAATAAGTTAGTAAGTAAACATGTTTAGGATGCAAATTAGTTAAGAGTATTTAAGGCGAAGTTTTTGCGATTGAAAGAGAATGCAAGAATTGGCTACGTTGACTTCTGCTGTCAGAGGTTAGACATTTGCGACTGTTGCATTAAGTGCGCCAATAAGTTAATTGTCTGAGAAAGCCTGTTAAGACTAATCTTGACTTCCTCTATTTAATTTTATTACCTTGAAATGTTAAGTTCATTAGTTGTGCTGATACTTTAGCAACTCAATATTTTGGCGATTGAGTTGTTAAAATATCAACACAACAATTTTATTGTTGTATGGTTGTACTGACACTTTAGCAACTCATTCGGCAATACTGAGTAGCTAAATCAGCACATCTATACAACAATATTTAAATGTGAGCAGTAAGCATAAATATGCAGAATGAAGTAAGCTTTGTAAACAATTTTATAGTGCTAACTTAATTTTGATAGTAAACACTGATGTAAACAGATCATGTTTGCAAACACACCCTAAAAGAACATCATCTACATCACCTACATTATCTACTGCAATATGTAATGTCCTGAAACATGATGCCTGTGCCCATTACAATAAATAACACTACAAAACATGCAGCTGTACAACTATGTATCGCTATATATATCATGTAATGCATTTTACTTGATCTAATTTAATGTCCGGCAGTGGCAGAACTTGCAGTGTTGGCTGGAGTCACAAATTCAAGAATTTTGCAGACTATGAAATACAATCCATGAAAAAAGACATCAAAGCGGATAGAATTTATCATCAGATTAGTGAAAAGTACGGAGAAAACATTATGAACAATGGAACGGTACAGAAATGAGTTACAGCTATAAAAATGGCTACATGAACATTCATAATGATGAACAAAATGGGCTCCCTCTGTCATTGTTGAAGATCTGTTGCAGAAAGTTGATGAACAACTGGAGAGAACAGATGTCATAAAATTTTGTCATTATCTGATGATGTTGCTCAGGTTTCATGCAGTGTTCTGAATAAAACAGTGAATGAACCTTTAAATCAGCAAAAAAAAAAAAAAAAAAAAAAAAAAGACCTTATTTAGCAGAAAAATAAACTGAGGCAGCGATTCTCAACCTTTTGACTAACGCATACCATCTGAACAAAAATTGAAAACCTTTAGTACCACCATTACAAAGTACTACTACCACCACCACTCTTGAACAAAGCTCAGATAGCATAAATTTACAAGTGTTAGAGAAAAAAACTCAATCGGGATTTTAATTTTTGAATTTAATAGTTAAAAATACTTTGCTCCTTTGCGTACCACATTTTTTTCTTGCGTACCACTGGTTGAGAACCCCTGGACTGAGGCACAGGCTTTAATATAAAAATAAAAATTGGTAAGAAATTTCTACTTGTTTCTCCTGTCCCCTCTAAATAATTCGTACTTCAAAAACATGCCTTATAATATTATGTAAAACCCAAATCCATCAAAGTTTTCTGAATCTTATGTAGTCAAAAATTATTCAAGACAACAACAAAAAAAAAATTAGGTTATTCAGGAAATCCTGAAAAATTCTTTGAGTACTAGCAATGCGACTGATACCAAGCAAAACTGATTAGGAAATCTAGCACAAAATCTCGCAAAAGAATCAACCAAACTTAATTCTGAGAGTTCTAAAATGACAAGAATCACACACAAGTGAACGTATTTGCAATCTAAAAATGAGGAAATTCGGACACAAAAGAATAAATTCACCGATTTAAAACCAGACAACACTATGGAATAAGAAGATTCTGATTTAGAGATTCAATTATCTCAAAAGAATGTGAGACATATCCCCCTATTTTGATTTCAAATTTTTCAATTGACTAAGAACAACTTTAGGAACAGTATGAAGCTAAGAGTTACAAAAATCAAAGAAAACCTAAAAGGAGACACAATGAATATTCGTTTCTGACATAAATGAATACAGGATAGTTCCAGAAGTAAGGAATTCCCTATCATACTTTTTTAATGAATGCAGGAAAGACATAAAAGCCATGACAAAAAACTTCCTAAAAATATGGATATTGGAAAAATAAAACAAGAATTAACACGTAAAGGATTCCAATCAAGATGTACAGGTAAAGGATTTCAATTACTAAGCATCAATTCAATTATAAAGATGAGACAACCAGATTTATAGAAGGGCAGATTATTCCACTGCCACTTTACCTTGCTGTATCAAAAGAAGTACAGAAGAAAAACAAATTTACAATATTAAACACTGAACTTGGCATCTACGTAGAACTTTACAAAAAGCAGATCAGGGACAATGCAATGCCACAAATGTCACAGTTGCAGCCACATTCGCTCTACATGTTTGCATAAAGAAAGGTGTTTGAAATATGCAGCTACACAGGAAACTTATTTATGCAAAAGTTATAAAATATGAACTACCAGCTCTCTGTGATGAGAATCACATCTTAAGCTTTAAAGGTAGTAAAAAAATAACCCTAAAAATTACAGAACAGCAAAAAAAAACTCACAAATTTAACTATAACATCAGAACTTCCAGAAGCTAAAATAGATGAATCCTAGATAAAAATTCTAATGAAACAGCCTTCATCGAATAGATAAAAATACAGTTTGGGAAACAAAAGATTTCTTGGGGAAATTTAAAAATATGAAATCAATTAACAAAAAATAGAAGTTGGCATGGTTGCTTTTAATAATTTATTAAGCTAGACTTTCAAGACATTAGCACCTTCTCAAAATTCTATATAACTAGTATAGGGCAAGTGTTTAAATTTTCATGAATTCAGACATATCTGTCTATAGCTCAATGGATATAGACCAGCGGTTCTCAACCTTTTGACTAACATGTACCATCTAAACAAAAATTGAAAACCTTTAGTACCACCACTACAAAGTACTACTACCCTCACCATTCTTAAACAAAACTCAGATCGCATAAATTTACAAGTATTAGAGAAAAACTCAATCAGGATGTTTAAGTTTTAATTTTTGAATTTAATAGTTAAAAATACTTTGCTTCTTTTCGTAACACCTATTTTTTCTTGCGTACCACTCGTTGAGAACCCGATATAGACTTTTATCGCCTACCACAAGACTGAGTTCGGACCTCGACAATGTACTTTACTGTTTTCATACCTAAAGCTTATGTAATGACTCACGTTTATATCATCACAATATTTTAGCACATTTTGCACTTTTTCAATGCTTAGAATATTTTAATTTGCATTTCTTCAAAACCTACTGATTTGGCCGCAACCTACTGATTCAAGATCCCTGTCAACAGGTGGTGGCACAAAGTAACTATCATGAGATGGCGATAGTATGAGCTACTGGCAAAAACTCTCTGTAATTGTATGCCAGTTCCTAAATAAAGATCCCAGATGAAAATTCATATGAATCTGCAACTAATACAAATATTTTTACATCCTACTTTTTTAATTAAAAATTATTTTTATAATTGCACTTACTGTTGTAATGTTTTCTGTCATATGCCATCCATAGAATCTACTAAAATTATGAAACAACTTATTTTTTTTAATATTTAGAATACAGCTAAACTTGATTTAAAAGTGTAATAAATATAAGACAGAACTAATCTTGATTTCAAAATGTGTAATAAATTGTAAGAGACATTGGATTCAATTATGTGCATAAGATTTTAATCTCTTAAAGAACATTTCGCTAAAAACGGGTGCACAAAGCACATGCACACACAACAAACATCATGCGATAACAACCAAATCCATAAAGAGAAATAGACTACATTGAGCGTGGACGCATCACTTTATGCTGAGGCATATAAAACAGAAACAATGGCTCTTCACAAAATTTTTAACATTTACATTTGTCGATGATAAAAAAACAAGCCACTTTATAGCTCATTTCATTTACAAAGTTTTTTTAACCACATCAACAATGTTGAATGGTTCAGATCATCAGGTGCTCAGTCCTGCACCAGTCTTTAGAAGACTATATTGTGGCAGAAAATGCACCAATAGTTTTTAGTGATCAAGTCTCATACACAAAAAAACTTCACTGAATTTTATACACATGATTGGCTCAAACTACAAGCTTCAACAATAGCATAATATATTTTTTCATAGGAGGACCTGAATCAGCAAATATGCGTTATATAACATACATGATTATACACAGCTTGGAGGCTGATCACTTCATTGGATACAAAGAGAAAGTATGCCATAAATGTTGCCTCACTGTTTAGAACAGGAAATTTTAGCCGGCAATGCTATCTACGCCTGTAAGCACGAGCTTTATTTGTCCTTGTGCTTACAGGAGGGATACTACTGTCCGACAAAGATATATTGCTTGAAAGGAAACTTTCTTCCTCCGTTTCATCTGTGATAATATCTGAAGACTGTCTATCCAGTTCCATCATAGCTTCTTGAATTGCATTTTCTAACTGAGTATTCATTTTTCGACCTCTGAAAAAGAAAGTCATAAATTTAATACCAGAATACATATAACAAATTAATAACTAAAAACTTTAAAATATAGACGGGGAAATAAATTTTAGTAAAAAACTTGTCCTGGGAATCTTTTATTTTCAATTCATTTGAAATACCAGATGATTCTTTACATACATACAATACAATACTAAAATAACAAAACAGTTATTTTCACCAAAAACATTATAAAATATCTACTTAAATCCTAGTAATTTTATTCCAAAATGCATACTTGTAATTCATTTATTTTGAAGAAACACCAAAATCGGAATCCTGCTAAAAACTAAGAAAATCAAATATCCAAGTGTGAACCATTTGTTTACCAATACAGTTACTGTTGCCAATGATACTGATTTCATGTAATACACCTAATTCTAGTCTTACATAAATTTGATTTTAACATGTATCCATTCTTTTTATACAGGTCCTTTTGATTTAACACAGAGTAGGCTGTGGTTAAGAATTTTTTTTTTTTTTTTTTTTTTTTTTTTTTTTTTTTTTTTTTTGTGGGGTAGGGAGAAGCCTAAAATGCAAGAAAAAGTTTTTGCTTACAGCACAGTAAACACCTACTAATGGCGAATATCAAGTCATGTGACTAAGTGTATTAGTCTTTTCTTTTGTTTCCAAGCTACATGCAATTAGAGTGGGGAATTGAAACCAATGTTTTGTACCTTTGGAAGGCATTTAATATCCAATTCTACTTCAAAGCAGAAGAAATTTACATGAAATTTGTGCATGTGTAACTTTCTGAAAGTCAGAAAATTGTTAAAGGTTACAAATTTTTTGTACTTTTTTTCTATTAATAATAGCAGATATTTTTTGGTAGCCCTTATGTAATGTAAAACATAATTCACCTATTATCAAAACAAAAATAAAGTTATTTCTCTGGAATTTAAAATTTTAGACTGTAATGTAACTACAAAGAGTGCTACATTATAGCAAAGCTTTCTGTGGTGTACATGAAGTTATCGTAAGAACTATTCAGAAAAATTAAACTACAATTAGGAAGTTGGCATGTCCTGAAATGAAAGTAAGCATTAATTCATACATATAAGGTACTGTCAACAAAAAAGTGGAGCCCACCGAAGCCGATTTGCCCAATGGCAATATTGATAAACATAATGGAAGATAGCGTTCATGTCGAAGATAGCACTGTTCAGCCTAGCGCTAATGGTGTTGCCGATTTAACTGCTAACAACGATTTAATTTCTCTGGACTTTATGCATTTGCAAATAACTGACCTAGAGAACCAAATTCATCATATGAAATCTGCGGTGAAAGCTATCATCAAAAACACGCTGTTACGGATTCAGATTTGGTGATGGAGCCCATGGTTAAACTTATGAAGCAGCTGAAGAAAGAAGCAGACCAACTTAGACGTAAGTTCGGTTTGACTATTTTGGCAGGCATGGCTAGATTAAATATTGCCCCAAATAGTATTAGCACCTTAAGTAATAAACGTAAATCTGTTCCTGAAAGTAATGCTGATATTAATGATAATAATGGCTTTCAATTGCCGACTAACATGGCCAAGCAGCTAAGAGTTGAAAAAATGAAAAACATTTTGGAAGTTAAAAATAAATACTCGGTACTCAATGAAAGTGATACTGATAGTAATAAGGATAATGCTGGTACTTCCCCTTAGGAAATGAAAACTCAGCAAGAGTAGTTCCCCCCCCCCCTTTAAACCCCCAATGTTCCACCCATAATGGTTAGCCCCGGAGAGTTATCATTTGGCGATTTTCTTAAACAACTTGCAACAAAAACGCAAGCTAAATTTCTAAGGAAAATCAATGGGAAATTCTTGAAGATTTTTCCCCAAACTACAGATGATCATCATACCCTAAATGCGTTATTCAAAGAAAATAAGGTTGAGCACTTTATAATAAACGAAAAATATAAGAGACCAGTAAAGGTTGTGATAAGAGGACTTCCTTCAAATGCTAATCAGCGAGAAATAGCCCAGGCAGTTTCAGAGAAAGGATTCATTTCTGGTTCGTGATCGGGTACGTTGTGCAAAAAGTCGCGGAACTTACCTGACGACGAACCACAGTGTCAATGAAATTATTTTTATTAACACTCATGCAGTCAGATAATGTAGACAATATATACAACCTGAGGAGCCTGATGTTCTCTGTTCAGGTAAAGAAATATGTATCTAAAAATTAGGTCCCTCAGTATCACAATTACCAACAGTGGCAACATTCTTCTGAGAGCTGTTTTTTCGAGCCTAGGTGCATCAAGTGTGCTGAGAAATGTCGAACTACTGACTGTCCCATAAAAGGCAGAACCAGCGAGCCAAAATGTGTTAATTGCCTAGGAAATCATCCAAGTTCATATCGTGGATGTCCTAAATTTTCCAAATATAAACCATCAAACAGCAAGAAAAATCAAATAAAACCTGGTCTTAGCTTCACTCAAGCCTTAAACCCTGCAAACAAGACTAGCACAGTTAGAGAGGACAAAAGTCCAAAAAATCCCTCCATTGCTGGATTTCCACAAGACAAAAATGAAAATAAAAGCACTAATGTAACAGAGAAAATGTATTTAATGCAAATGTTAGCATTAATAGCTCAGATATTTTTCAATTTTTAAGTTGCATGAAAGAAATTCATAGTATTTTTAGTTAAGCAAATATGCAAAAATGACAAAAATATTTTTAAATTATGTTCCTTAGCTTAGATCCAACATGGATAATATTGATAAACTTTTTGTGTACTTTGAAATGCTGAATGAAATTAATGTGTGTGAAAACATTTCTATCGCTACATGGAACGCAATGGCTTATCCCTCAAACTTAATGAGCTCAGGGACTTTATACAGGAGCACAACCAGTGTTTTATACTTAGCCCACACGAAAACTTCAAAATGAATAATTATGATTCTTATAGAAAAGATAGTGTGCACAAATGGCAGATGCAGTGGTGGACTTCAAGCACTCCATCTCTCACTATGAAAATACATAGCTTATAGACACAGCTTTTAGACGTAAGAGGCGTTAGTTATTATGATCATTCCACACACTCAACGACCAATCACTTTAGTCTTCATCTATCACCCTGCCCAACGAACACAAAAAGGCACAAAAATTGGAACTGTAGTCATTATGCCATTTATGGATACATTATAAATAGATTTGCCACCATGGCCAACTTTCAGATTGCCTCCCTCCTGCCCAACACTATCTATAGCTCTGATAGTGCTACTATCACTGACTTCTTCATCATGAAAAATGCCAATGCTCCAAATAAAATCGAGAGCCTTTCTGAGTTATCATCGGATTATAATCCAGTGCTAATGGAAATTACTATCAGCATTTATAGCACCCCCCCCACACACACACAACAAAAAAAAAAAAAAAAAAAAAACCTCTATATGAATTGGGTGAATTATGCCAAAGCTCTGAACAACACCCAGTACACATTACCCACTGCACACAGTGAAGCTGAGTTAGATACTTCAGTCGAAGAGTTCATGGATACTTTAAAAACTGCTCTTTCAAAAAAAAAAAAAAAAAAAAAAGAAGTTCCTCATATGAAACGACCCAGAGATCCTCAAATCAGAGCTCTGATTACAAGGAGAAAACAGAGCGAGGAAGGAATGGAAACGATCACGTTACGTTGCCCTAATGACAAAAGGAGCCTACACGAAAACTTCAAAACGAAAACTCAGCTAAACCAAGAGGTCAGGTTCCTTACTAATTTACATGCACAAAGAGACTGGTCTAATTATTTTGATTCACTTTCCACTGATGATCAATCAATTTGGAAGGCAGTTTCCAAATTTAAAAAATGCCACACGAATATTCCGCCCCTTTTTAACGTCTGCAACGGAATTGCTTACACCGAAACTGAGAAAGCTGAATCACTAGCTGATAACTACACATCTCAGTTTTGCACTCACATTTCTAACCCAGACACAGAACTCACAGTTAATTTCACAAACAATCAATACTTCTCAAAAACAAACGCAGACAACATACGTCTAGTTAAGCCTTCGGAAGTTATTAGATATATCGAGAAAAGAAAAATCAGAAAAAGGCCAGGCCTGGACGGCATTAGCTTGAAGATGATTCACCAGATGGGCATGTGATGGTGTTCAAGTTCACCAACATCTTAAATTATATGCTGACTCTAAATTATTTTCCCAAAGTCTGGAAAACTGCTGTGATCATACCAATACCAAAGCCTTTAAAGCCAGCTAATGACCCTGCTTCATATCGCCCAATAAGCCTTCTTTCCACACGCAGAAAAATCACAGAAGCCATAATTCAAGACAGAATACTGGAACAAATCAACCTGAAAAATATCCTAATTCCTTAGCAGTATGGTTTTCAAAGAAAGCAAGCTACTACCCACCAGTTATACAGAGTCACCGAATTTATCTCTGAAGGCTTGAATAAAGGAGAAAGCACAGGAGCACTTTTCCTTGATATATTGAAAACATTCAACAGAGTTTGGTTAGACGACTTAATCTACAAACTTATCACCCTGGGTTTCCCAGGATACATCATAAACATCACCAAATCTTATCTCTATGAGAGAAACTTTGTTGTTCGCTACGATAACACATATCCCACACAGAGACGCATTTATGCTGGCATCCCTGAAGAATCTTTGGTCGGCCTGATCTACTTTTTACTTTATGTAAACGACATACCACAGACACCTTACACTACACTAGCCATGTATGCTGATGAAACAGCAATTCTAGCCAAAAAAAAAGCATCTTTAGACCAGATCACACAAACATTACAAATACACATCCCCGCACTTCAGGCCTGGCTTCAAAAGTGGAAAATTTTAATCAACGTAGAAGTCAGAAGCTGTTTTGTTTAAGAAAAAAAGAAAAATTACTCAAAAATTACGTTTTATGGAACTTATATCCGGTAGGCCAAGACTGTTAAATACCTCGGAGTTACATTGGATAAAGGCTTAACATGGAACCCGCCACATAACAAAGTTAATTACCAAATA